CCATTTAGTTGCTTCAGTTTCAGGATCCTGGTATTGTGCACGTAACACGTTTTTCTTTAGACTAATAAAGAGAATTCAACCAAAGTGGTTTATAATTGTAGATTCACTGCCTGTCTGGTAAATATACTGGCTTTGTACTAAAAGGTTTTTAAACTGTGTGGTTCTCATTAGTACATTGGACATTGTTGACTTCAGTACATTTGCTCAAACGCTGTATTTAAGTACAATTTTCAGATTCTGGCACTTGAGTATTTTAATTTAAAACTACTTTACACTTCTACTCGTACTGCAATACACAGCTAGGCAGGTCTACGTACATTTATATGACTAATTACGTTTCAGATTAAGGTTTTACTTGCAAAACACATGATCTTATAAAATACAGTGCATTGCTTTACTCTAAACCAACCCAGTAGTTTCTAAAGTACCTAAAATTGGCTGTGCATGCACAATGCACAGCATTTACAAACTGTATCCAATATAACAATGTATTATTAACAATATAGCACTCTGAAATTAATGTTTCAATGGATCTGTAATGGTGCATTTTGTACACTACAGCTTTACTATGATGTGGCTTCAGTAAATGACCTGAATAGATCCACCACAGAGGTTTTATAAAAACCATAATTTCCACAGGAAACCCACAAAATGACAGCTTTTGTGTTGTTGTTGTTGGCTTTTGTTTCAGAAACCCGCCCTGTAGCCACCTGTGAGTTCAACCTCCTCCTCAACATATGCCTTGTAAACAAGTGACATTTCTTGTATTTAAAATAAAAGTTTTTCTCAAATTCATCATTGAGTAACTGCTACCTGTTTTTCTTTTAATGATGTGTGAAGGTGTGTGAAGTTAAAGAGATGACGTTGGCCTTTTACTGTCTGGGCGTACATGCAGTAAAATGAGTGACGGAAGAGCAGAACAGAGGGATGAGACGTCTGCAGGACAGCACTCTGTCTCCCTGTGAGTCTTTTTGCTCTGTGGCTCCTCTTTTGTCCCTCCCGGCCACGCCTCCAGCGGTCGCCTTGGCAACATGTTTTACTGCTGGCAGCCATATAAATACAGCATTGGCTCCTAAACTAGGAAAGCTGTACACAGCAACAGTCAATGCCAAGGACACAGCGAACAAGGGGGCTTCAGCTTCAAATATAAAAAGGAGGTATACAAAGGATAAGGAATGTATTTTTTGTGAATATTTGATATTATTCACCTACATTTTTGTTATGTGCAGGATGGACTGAAAAAAGGGGCATAAAACAGGCCAAATCAGATACTTCTGACCTTTATCTGTCGTATTTTTCAGCTGAGCATTGGGTGAGAATCTGCACCTGAATGAACAGATGGATGAAGCTCAGTCTCTTTGTGACAGGAGGAGGGAGGGCAGTCTCCTCAACACGTTGAGTCAAACTTTTCGGGGGCTTGAAGCTGTCAGACGCTGCAGATATCATCACATTGGAGCGGTGGTGGGTGGCGGGACATGCACAGGAGAAGAACCAGGAAGAGGCGGAGGAGAGGAAATGCAGAGAGGGAGTGAAGAAGGGATGCTCAGTCCAGCAGGTCAAAGAGAGGATGAAGAGAGTAGTAGAAATGCTGATAGAGAGCGAGAGGTGGAGGAGGAGGAGTGCAAGAAGAAAGTTCTGGGAGTGCTGAGGGAGCTGAGTGTTTTTCATGCAGACAGAGTGACAGCGTGGAGAGAAGTTCTCAGAGAATGTGCCCACATGTTCCCCGAGTCTCCAGCAGGGGGCAGTGATCAGCAACATCCATCTACAACAGGTGTGTGACTTTATCTGACTCCTTAAAGGACCCCTTTTCTGTCATTGAGTAAAGAGACAACCCCTGACTATGTGACATAATTTATGGATATCTCATATTATATTAAATGCAAAACAATATCAGTAGACAGCAACAACAAAAACAAGCGATTTGGATACATTTTGAGCAGATTATTTCCTGTGAATGTTGATCTAAGGAGTTTTCCTGATATTTTCTCTGTCTGTATTATGCATTTTTATAATTTATAACAATCATTCATACTAAATAGGCTTTTTTTCTCTGACAAATTCACTGTTTTTTTGTCCCACTTTAACTGCATACTTTTCTAATGAAGAATAAGGCTGAATATAGCTTGTGTTCAGGTCTTTAAAGCTTAGATCTTCTCAAATCTCAATAGTAACAAAGTAATTTAGTTTTTTTACATAAATGAATGAAATGCAGAGATGTAGGCTTATTGTGTATATTTTTAAAGTTTTCCTACACCCCTTAAAATTAAAAAGGCCTCGTGAGCCCCTGAAAAGCTTTGGCAACCCTCTCTGTGTTCCCCCAGGTTAGGAACCACTGATTTTACTGATGCATGTATTTCTCAGCCTTTTTGAGATGTTAGGAGATAAGATAAGAAACTTAAAAAATGCAAATACAGCTGAAAATATTCAATTGAAACACTTGACGCAGTTAAAATATCAGTTATAGCACGTTGAGTGTTGGAAGCATTCGGTTGAGGTTTAAACACTGAAAGTAATTCAAGTGTCAGTGGAAATTAAAATTGAGGCAGTTTAAGTGTTGGTTGATACAGAAGGACTGACTGTAGGAGGGGCATTTTAAGCAACTTTGAAACTTCTGAGATTTAAGTGTCAGTTTAAGTGTATGTGATCAAAGCAACTGAAGAGTTAAGAAATAAAATTGCTGAAAGCAGTTAAGGCGAGAAAGACCATAGTATCTGAAAATCTCAGATTTCAGTGTAATCATCTGAAAAACGTTTGCAGTCAGTTTTTTCGTTATTTATAAGCATATTTTAAAATCGATTTGTAAGGCAAATGTTCTGCAAACATTATATATGAACAACCAAAACTATTGATTTAATTATGCAGGAATAGTTCATAAGTTTTAATTAAATCAAAAACAAATGCAGTTTGACAAGTAAAAGTTTTATATTTTTGTTGTGATGTAACACACAATTGCCTTTGTTCTGTTGACCTGTTTTTACTTTTTCAGATAGCGAATGTCAAGGTCAAGTCACACCTTGTCCAGACTCCTTCAGTGATACCTGTCTGAGTGTTGGGGAGGACATAAAGAACATTATAGACAAACTGAACACAATCAGAACTAAGCTGGATGAAGAAATACTCAAGTCATGTGAGGAGGAGGCCTCACCTGTGGGTGCAGCCCTTCAGGTGACCGGAGATCCAAAAACATCAGCGCAACCTGAAGATGACAACAACCCCTTGAACTCCCATAATCCCCTTGAATTTGACTCTGGATTTACAGAGGAAGTTGAAGATGGAGATGATCAAAGTCATACGATGTCATCACTTGATACTGAACAAACATCGGACTCCAGATTCAGTAGTTCTGACTGCAACAATGTGGAAGAGACAGGGAAAGAATTACTGGTCAAAAATCAAGGGACTGATAATGAGGACTGTGTTTCTCCAGATAGACAGAAAGATTTCTGTGAGGAAACAGAAAAGGACACGAATAGGGTAAATGACAAGGGCAAAGAGGAGATGAATAACGAATGGATCACAGTAGGGTAAGTTCATGAAATGACTACCTTTTTGTCCCCTTTAACCCTCAACCTAACTTTCCTTTTTGTTTCTCTTTAAGTTGCTCTGAGGAAGGTAAAAATCCTTTTCCTAATCCACGCTGTCTTCATTGAAAAAGTTTTTAAGTTACCCTTTATTCTTATGATCAAATGCAGAGAATGAATTTCCCTACCTGGATGAGAAAAGAATAGCTTACTTAAAAACTTACAATTAAAAATAAAGCTGTGCTGGTTTACACAGTGTTTGGTTGCATAGTATGAAATTATCAAACATTATTGTAACATTCCACTTTGAGTAAACCTGCGCTGTGCTGAAAGCATAAATGCTCTTTAACATAATGGATTTTTACAGGCAGTAAAACATGCGAGCTCGAATGGGGCCAGCTCGTGAGTCTGGACGTCATTCCATTTCTCCTCATTTCTCCTGCTCACTGATACAGCAGCAAACTCTCTGCAGTGGTTTATCACAAGGTGTACACATTTAGACCGCTTGGCCTTCCCATAGCCGGCTATTTCATGCAGTTCACTGCCGGGTCAATGCCCACATTTGTCCAAAAGCCAAACAAATTCAGATCAGTGGGAGAGGCTAAGTCTGGGAGAAGCTGATATGGAAATGTGCGTGCTCCAGCATCTCAGAAATACTTAAGATGGTTGCACTTTTTGCTAGAAATGAAGCTTAAAGATGATAAACATATTTAGAGCAAATACTGTCATAGCAAAATATACAAGCAGTACCATGTCTGTACATCATGCTTTGTTTTTGTGCACATATCTATTTTAAAATGATTTTTAGGCTCATAGGTCAACAGGAGGACAGCCGTTCAGATGTACCAGACACATGCTTTATCAGAGCACCTATGGGTGTGGCTGAAGTCCTGAGATGCGAGGTGGCCGACACCCTGAGCTGCCTGATGGTGGCCGGCTCGGAGGAGCTGGTTAGCAGAGTGATCAGGGTCCAAGCTCAGGACGGAGCTAACCTCCACTTCCCTGTGACCGTGGTTGTGCCCTTCTGTGCACGTTACCGTGGCAACTATAGGGATGTTGCTGTGAAGATAGTTGATGGGGAGAGGAGGGCAAGTTACATCACTCCTGTAACAACAGAGGGCCCGTATGGAGGGCAGAGGGTAAAGTTCTCTATTACTTACACCAACTCTATAATGTTATTGTATTGTATTGTATGTTATAGGGAGCGTAGTACAAAAATGCAGTTTTTTCAGAGGTAGAAAACATGCATATACAGTATGTAAACAGATAAAAATAGGATGTTTTTCTCCAGAGGGAAAGCATTCTTAAAACTTAAATAAAAACCTAGTTTGGGTTTAGGTTTCCTTATAAGTTTATTATTGACAATAATGAAGTATTATTTGTCATGCAGCCATATTTCAAGATATTTGTATAAGAAGACCTTTTCTAATTCTCTTCCACACATTGTTTGAAATGTTCTACATTTCGTTGAGTGGACAGTATCACCTTTACATTTGTTTGTATTTGTTTGTGAGCATTCAGGGTTAATTTTAATAGTTGAAATTATAACTTGTGAAAGGCACATTGGAGGTCAGTGATAGCTTGATTTAGAGTCAACTGCATGGATAATTGTATCATCTGTCTAAAAACTTGATGTCTTTGCCAGGGCTCATTTGCAGAGGTGAGGGTGTACACCCTGGGCCTGTTTGCAGTGGTTTCCTGTCTGAAAAGAGAAAATTACACAGTTCCTTCAAAGGGTTTGTCCCTCAAGCTCCCCATGGACCCCCGAATTTGTCTGAACTACCTCCCAGGATCCTTCACTGCCCCAGTAATGGCACAAACCATGGTATGGCGATGATAATTTGATCACTATCCATCTGTATCTTACTACTTTTAATACAAGCGTGTTACAACATAGGCTTGCTCAACCGATTTGTTGAGGGCTTTTGAAAAAGAACTAAATGATCAAAAAATATTGAAATTGTTCTAAAAAAATGCGAACAGAAAAACATAATAAGGGAAGGAAGAAGCAAGCGAGTGAAGGAGAAACAGATAGACTGCTTATAATTCACAGACCAGAGTTTTCGCAGATGTTTGCTCTGAGGTAGAGAAATGAACAGCTGTGGCCAATATTTGAAGTGACTTCTGAGTCCAATCATCTGTGAACTAACTTCACCACAGCAGTTCGTCTCTTGATCTTACGTCAAAAAACCAACAGCTCCCCCTCTGCATGTCTCTCTTTGATAAAACAGCATGCTGTCGGCAAAACAAAAGTGTGGAATAAAGAATATTTTCATATCACGCCGCATCTCTTTTCAAACTGCTGCCTAAAACAGCTGTTTCCTTATCTGCCTCAGATCCAGACAGTAGATACCGTCCTTCTGGGTGCCATCAAGTCCAGAAGTGACGCCTACCAGTCGGTGGTGTCTACAAGTCCACTACTCTACCTCACCCATCCATCCTCTCAGCCCCTGAGAAGACCCCTCACTCTCACCCTTCCCTGTCCCCCGAACCCTGAAAAGAAGAGGCACAGAAGAGGACAAGGGGAGGAGTATGACAATCAGTCTCGGCCTGTTGGTGCCTTTTCACCGTGGGATCAACCTGCTTCCCACAGAAGGAGGTGAGTGAAGTGTAGTCTCTTTTTATTTTTTCTATGAGCTGAAATACACATACCAGAGGATCAGTGGCCAAAAATAAAAGACAAGAGATGTGGGAGGCAGCTGCCAGATGAGAATCATGCTTTAACTACTGAAAACTTGTGTTGTGCAAACTATCTATAATGAATAAAAGTTTTTAGCCATGCTGGCAACGTGGCTAACAAGGCAGCCATGTTGGTTTGTCAGTTGGTCCACCACTTTTCGAACAGAAATCTCAACCATTGCATAGATTGTCATGTAATTTTGTACAGACATTTATGGTTCCCAAACAATGTATCGTCATAACTTTGGTGACTTTTCATCTAGCGCCATTATCTTAAATTTCCCTCGGCATAAATAAAGTATCTATCTGTCTGTCTGTCTGTCTGTCAGTCAATCATCAGTTCTAGATTTCGATGAAAGATTAACGACTTCCCAGTAGCCTTAATTGCACTTTGTGTTTAGTGCTAATTAGCTAAATTCAGCTAACATGCTAAACTACAAAAGGTGAATATGGTAAACATTACACCTGCTTAAACTCAGGATGTTAGCATTGTCATTGTGAGCGTTTTAGTATAGTATAGTCCTGTTATAAATATTAAATATTAAATTATATTGTTGTTTTTTACTTGTTTCTCAGGGTCCTGGGTGCCTCTCTGAAGTCTAAGGAAATGTCCAATGAGCTGCTGATTGCTCTGGGTTCAAGGGACAAACAGTGGAGCGTCCTGGACAAAGTCACAGTCAGGAACCAGCAAAACGGACTGGTGTCCTTAGAGTTGATCGAGCACTTTGAGAGGTTTGTCTTTTAAAATTGTTATTAACGCAAATGTGAATGGCTAATGAGAATATAAAACTATTGAGAATGAGAGGTTAAACTTAACATTATTTTTATTATTAGAAATAGGAAAGCCAGTAAATGGGGCAAAATAGAAGTACATAATTCAAGAAAGATGCATACACAGTGTACAATACTCACTAACTCACAAAGAATCAAAATAAGAACACTTAGCAAATGAGGAAAAATGTGTTTAAAGTGTTTCTTGGAAGCGGATTGTGGGGTTGGCTCTATGATATTTGATTATGTCCTTGATCAAAGACAGATAAGACAGCTGCGTCAGGGTTTTACTACAGTTTTATGGCAACAGGAGCTCAGATATACAGTATATGTTTAGGGCCAAGACCTAATAATGCTTTTTGGATAAATATTAGAATGGTAGATTAAATTGTAAAGCTAACAAAGAGCCACTGCAGTGAGGCAAGAGAAAAGGTAATATGGTTTTCTGATCTTGTTAGAAACCCTGCTGCTGTGCTCTGGACCAGTTGGAGGCTGCAAAGAAAGACTTGGTTCAGAAAATACAGAAAATTACTGTAAATTAGATATAAAAGCGTGGATGATTTTCTCCTGGTTGGATATAGACAAAAAGGTCCTTGTTTTAGAAAGTATTCAGAGCTGAAGCACAGGCATCTTCTCTAACCTCAAACTGCTGGTTGTGATTAAAAAAAGCTTTATGATGAGCATATCAGTGACTGCAGCACTCTGTGGCTATGTTGTTTTACCTTCCAGCCTAAATAGATCAGAGCACAAACTGCAATATGAGGCAGAAACATCCAAAGAAGGACTACAGACAGCACAGAGAAACCCAGGGTCAGACTCGTAGGCTCATTTGTAGCAGAATTTGTGGCAGATCCAGCGCGGATTTCTCCAGTGTGTCCACCCAGTAAAAGAAAAATCTGAAAAAACATACAATATTCTATCAACAGAAGACCCTTAACAGTATCCTACAAGCACACAAATTGTGTTGTGACACCAAACTGTAATAACCTTTTGTCTCTTACCACATCTCCCTGCGCCTTGCTGGTAAAGTTGATGAACCACTGTAGTTGATTTGAAGGATTGTAGGTTTTCAGCTTGCTGCCATTGTTTCCTATGCACAGCGTCAGAACAGGCTGGCTGCTCACACCACAAATAAGGATGTAATAAATCCTGCATCTGACCACAGAACAGAAAACACTCTCAGCCACTGCAGATTAACTGAAGCAGAACCAAAAACTGTTTTCATTTGACTACGCACCTTCTTGCCGAGATGCAGTGAGCAAAGGTCAACTCCAGGTTTGTTTGCTGCTCAGGGGATGCAGGAAACCAGCATAAAACCTTCAAATCAGGAGTTCGTAGCAGGAGGCTGTTGAAACTGGAACACACATAGAGGCCAGTAAACAATATTTAATAAAGTCAGGACTGGAATTTGCCCCCAAAAAATCAATGAATATTATTTGTTTATGAGAGTAACTTCTTCAACACCTGTCAGTGAAATACAGCCTTTTTAGTTTGCGTTTTGCCATAGAGTTAGCCTGCAAGATACAGAAAACAATAGCAAATAATTACAATATTTAGACTCAAAACTGTAATGTTTTTTAAAAAAGAGTTTAGAGTAACATTAATTGACATTAACAGTTGCAGTTTTCTCACATGCATTTGGTATCTGAGGCCCATGAGGCCAATGAGTGTGTTGGACAGGCGCAGCAGGTTAGCTGGATTCTGGGCCGTCCTCACAGCCACATCCACACACCGACTCCCAGCTGTGACTGTCATCAGGAGTCGTCCCACTACAGAGAGGAGGGAGGACACTTTGCCCCTGGCCACACAGAGAGAAACAGAAAATTAGGGATTAGTGGATTTGCATATTTCAGGACAACACTTCATTTTTGAAGTGCTCTGAAAATTATGGATTCTTACTTGTGGACAATGAGCTCTGGTGGAAACTTCAACATGATGGGGTTTGATGTGTAAAGCCCCACGGGAATAACTCTGGAGATGCTGGAATAAGAAACAAAGTAATACTACTTGAGAATAGTTTGAGATATTATATTTGAGATATTTGAGGCTGGGAAGATATAACAAATGTCACTGTGA